CAACTAACTTTTTTTGGTAGATTCACTGGTTTCGGTAACAGTTACCGTATGAACTAGGTATATGGGCCTGTAGCGGTGTAGAGGTTTGTACACCTCTGGAAACTACCAGAAAGGTATTATGTATACATTTGTTATAAGCGCATTTCATAGCAATTTCTGAAAGATTAGTCATTTTCTAAATCTGCACAAATATTAACCATGGAAAAGGAGTTCAGAGTTCAAAGCTATTATTGCTAATAGTCTCTATTGTTGTACAAACTGATGTGAGCAACAGGACATATAGTTCATGAGTGGGTCAGTGAAACAAAACACATTGTTTTATAATACAGTGCATGGACCCTTTGGAATCTATAGCTACCTGTTTTTCCTGTTTCATTGTATACAAAGGAATGTAAGTGTTTGAGGAATGTAAGGTCACACGCCTTTATGTTTGCAAACAATGGTATTACTACACCCTCATGGTACGAAAAGTTGAATTACAATGTGTACACTTAAACACAATAATTTTTAAAGATACTTAAGATTCGTATATCTCAGTCGAATGTGGACTTCCATGTAGTCAGCTTAAATGCAAAGCAATACTTTCAAGAAAGGAAACAAATACTCTTAAAATGTTTCAGATAGTGAGAAATATTGCAGTGAAAATATAGTTTCTAATGAAGAAAAAAAATAAATTAAGAGGGGTGAGTCATACCAGTTTGAAATCATGTGACCCAGCAGACTTTCAAATCCATAGATGATAAAACCTATTTTGAATTACCCTTGCAAACCGTAGTTGTTACTAATGTCGTTATTAAACAATTGCTCTTATGCACCCAAACTTTTACTCTTAGAACTTGCAATCTTTTAAAGTCCTGGTCCTGCAAATGTTTGTGTATGTGCTTAACTTTAAGCGTGTGATTAGTCACAGTGAAGTTAGCATATCCATAAGTGCCCCATAAAATTGAGGCCTGAATGGTACAGAGAGAAGATAAATATTACAGATTTATAAAGGAGACTGACTTCTCGTGAGCGGCATTTATATATTTATAAATTCATCTAAACAAGCTGATTGACCTGTTAAAATGCCAGGCACTAAAGAAATTCTACTTTTGGGTAAGGATGCAAGAATATTTAGAGTAGTTATATGTATTCAAGTTGGCCTGATAAAATTAATCCTCAGGGTACTTGGGGAACTAGCAGAAGCAATCTTGGAACCGTTAGCGATTCTCTTTGAGAACTTCTGAAGGATGGGTGGGACCCCAGGGGACTGGAGAAGGACAAACATAATATCTGTCTTTAAAAAGGGGACAGAGGACCTGGGGAATTATAGACCAGCCAGCCCAATTTCGATACCTGGAAAGATGCTGGAACAAATTGTTAAACAATCACTTGGTAAGTGCCTAACGGATAATAGGGTTGTAAGTAATAGCCAACAGGAACTTGTTAAGAACTAATCATGCCATATTAATCTAATTTCCTTCTTTGACAGGGTTGCTGACCTACTGGATAGGAGGCTGGTGGCACCTTAAAGACTAACGGATTTATTTGGGCATAAGCTTTCATGGGTAAAAAACCCACTTCTTCGGATGCATGGAGTGAAAATTACAGATGCAGGCATAAATATACTGACACATGAAGAGACGGGAGTTACCTTACAAGTGGAGAACCAGTGCTGATGGGGCCAATTCAATCAGGGTGGATGTGGTCCACTCCCAATAATTGATGAAGAGGTGTCAATACCAAAAGAGGGGAAATTGCTTTTGTAGTGAGCCAGCCACTCCCAGTCCCTATTCAAGCCCAAATTAAGGGTGTTAAATTTGCAAATGAATTGTAGCTCTGCAGTTTCTCTTTGAAGTCTGTTTTTGAAGTTTTTTTGTTGAAGAGTGGTTACTTTTAAATCTGTTATAGAATGTCCAGGGAGATTGAAGTGTTCTACCGGACTCCTCATTTTTGTGGATACGGACTAACGTGGCTAGTGCTCTGATAGTGGATGGGGTGAAGCAGAAAATGATATACCTTGATTTTAGTAAAGCTTTTCACACTCACTCATGACATTCTCATTAGCAAACTTGGGAGATGTGGTCTAAATTAAATTATTATAAAATGAATGCACAGTTTGAATATGGTTTTTCAAAGAGTAGTTAATGGTTTACTGTCAAACTGGATGTGTGTGTGTGTATCTATTGGGGTCCTCCAGGGGCCTATCCTGGGTCTAGTACTAGTCAATATGTTCAATAATGCCTTGGATAACAGAGTGGAGCGTGTGCTTGTAAAATTTGTGGATGACACCAAACTGGGAGGGGATGCAAGTACTTTGGAGGACAGGATTAGAATTCAAAAGAACTTTGACAAATGAGAGGATTGGTTTGAAATCACCAAGATTAAATTCAGTAAAGATAAATGCATTTGATTTTAATTCCTCAGTATAGTAATTTGCACAATTACAAACTGGGGAATAACTGACTAGGTAGTAGTACTGCTGAATAAGCTCTGGGGGCGAGTGGATCGCAAATTGAGTATGAACCAACAGTGTGATGCACTTGTGAAAAGGGTGAATATTATTCAGGAGTGTGGTATGTAATACACAGGTGCTAATTATCCTGTTTTACTTGGCACTGGTGAGGCTACAGCTGGAGTACTGTATCAGATTGTGGGCACAAGGCTTTAGGAAAGATGGCTAAGTTGGAGAGGATCCAGAGGAAAGCAACAAAAATTATAAAAGGTTTAGAAAACCTGACCTATGAGGAAAGTTTTTTTTAAAAAGGGCATGTTTAGTCTTAAGGTAGACCTGATAAGTCTTTTCTTAAGTCATCAACTATGTTACAAAGAAGACTGTGATCAATTGTTCTCTATGTGGACTGAAGATAGAACACAACTAATGGACTTAATTTGCAGCAAGGGAGATTTAGGTTACATATAAGGAAAAATTCTCTAACTATAAGGGTTAACTAAATTCTGAAATAGTCTTCCATGGGAGGTGGTGGAATCCCAATCAGTGAAGGCTTTTTAGAACAGGTTGGACAAACACCTGTCAGGGCTGATCTACATGGTCCTGCCTCAGTGCAGGTGGCTGAATGAGGTTACCTCCATAGGTCCCTTCCAGCTCTACATTTCTAACATTGGTATGTTAGCCAGGAGCATGATGGATATACTAATTTGTACATAAATTCATATACACTTCCAAATAAAATAAATGTAAAAACCCATTATATGTGGCTATCTTTCTCTTTTCTGAGCTGGATTAAGAGAGTGTCTTTGACTTTGGCGGCAGCAGCAACCTGTATTTCAGACACTGATTTGTCCTCCTCCTAAGGTGAGAAAGGAGAGGGTAGCCACAGGTGCCATTTGAGGACGTTGGGCACTGTGGATGGACAGATCCTGGGATGGTGGGCAGAAAGACGGGTGCGACAGACATGGGTGGGGGGTGCCGAATGGAGGGCCATGGGTGGACACAGCAAGAGGGACAGACAGATGAGGGGGTGGATGGACAGATCGGGGGAAGCCAGATGGATGGGTGCTGGGGGGGGCATGCAGGTGGATAGATAGCAGCAGGGGCTGACAGAGAGGCTGGGGTAGATGGACAGACATAGGAGAAGGAACAGATGAACGGTGGGAAAGTAGGCAGATGGATAGAGAGACAGCTGGCCAGACTGATGTGGGGATGGGGAGGGGAGGAGAGGAGGGACAGCATGGTGGATGAGAAGGGGGCAGACAGAGGGATCACGGACACCAGGACAGACAGACGTGGGGCTGGGACATGTGGGGGGCAGACAGACAGCAGGACCGACAGACATGGGACTGGGGGGGGGGGGGGGGTTGGGAAGCAGACATGGGAAGGGACAGGCCAGACAGATGCAGTGTGTGTGTGGGGGGGACAGCACAGTGGATGAGAAGGGGGAAGACAGAGGGATTGTGGACAGCAGGCTGGACAGACATGGGGCTGGGTGGGGTGGCGGGCAGACAGATGGATGCAGTGGGGGGGAAGAATAGCATGGTGGATGAGAAGGGGCAGGCACGGGGGATTGCAGATAGCAGGCTGGAGAGACGCAGGGGTGGGGGGCCGATGCAGAGCTGGGTGGGGTGCAGGGCAGGCAGCAGGAGGGACAGACATGGGTGGGGTGGGGGACAGACAGACATGGGGCTGGGTGAGGGGTGGGGGGGCGGGGGGGGGGGGGCGGGCAGACAGATGGATGCAGTGGGGGGGAAGAATAGCACGGTGGATAGCAGGGGCAGGCGGGGGGGATTGCAGATAGGCTGGAGAGACGCAGGGGTGGGGGGCGATGCAGAGCTGGGTGGGTGCAGGGCAGGCAGCAGGGGGGGACAGACATGGGTGGGGTGGGGGGCAGACAGATGGATGCGGGGGGGGGGAAGAATAGCACGGTGGATAGCAGGGGCAGGCGGGGGGGATTGCAGATAGCAGCCTGGAGCGACGCAGGGGTGGGGGGCCGATGCAGAGCTGGGTGGGTGCAGGGCAGGCAGCAGGGGGGACAGACATGGGTGGGGTGGGGGGCAGACAGATGGATGCGGGGGGGGAAGAATAGCACGGTGGATAGCAGGGGCAGGCGGGGGGGATTGCAGATAGCAGGCTGGAGCGACGCAGGGGTGGGGGGCCGATGCAGAGCTGGGTGGGTGCAGGGCAGGCAGCAGGGGGGACACACGGGGGGGCTGGGGGCAGGCGGAGAGCAGGACCGACAGAGGCGGGGGTGGGGGCGGGGCAGACAGCCGGGCGGACAGACAGACGTGGGGCGGACGGACAGGCAGCCGGGGACACGCCCCTTTCCAGCTCCGGCCCGCGAAAGTTCTGCCTCTGACGTCACTCGGACTGCGCTCCGCCGCGCGCGGCCCGCTGAGGGGGCGTGGCCGGCCGTGTCGGGGCTCTCGGCGTGGGGGGCGGGGCCCCTGCAGGGGGCGGGGCCGGCCGCCGCCGCCGCGCCGAGGGCAGCAGTCGGGAGGCTGCGGCGGCCGCGTTCGGAGGCGCGCGGCGCTGGGCGGCGAGCGGCCCTGTGAGGCGCGCGGGCGGCGCGCGGAGCCGGGGGCACCGCGCGCGGGCGGGGGGCGGGCGGGCGCGGCCCCCCATGGTGCGGCATGTCGAAGACGCTGCGGAGGAAGCGGCACTGGCTGAGCAAGGTGCAGGAGTGCGCCGTGTCCTGGGGGCCGCCGCAGCCCGGCGGGGCGCCTGACCCCGACCTGCTGCGGGGCGGCGCCGAGCTCGGCGAGTTCCCCTACCTGGGGGGCCGCCTGCTGCTGGGCGAGCTCGGCGGGCCCGGCCCGGTGCTGCTCTCCGGCAAGCCCCCCAGCCCCGGCGACGTGCTGCTGGAGGTGAACGGCACCCCCGTGAGCGGCCTCACCCACCGCGACACCCTGGCCGTCATCCGCCACTTCAGGGAGCCCGTGCGCCTCAAGACCGTGCGCCCAGGTGAGCCCCCCCCCGCCCCGGAACCGGCCCCAATCCCCCCCCCACCCCGGGACCATTCCCCCCCCCACCCCGGGACCGGCCCCCCCAACCCCCCCGCCCCGGGACCATTCCCCCCCCCGCCCCGGGACCGGCTCCCATTCCCCCCCGGCCTCGGGACCATCCTCCCCCGCCCCGGGACCGGCCCCCAATCCCCCCCCCCACCCCGGGACCATCCTCCCCCCGCCCCGGGACCGGCCCCCAATTATCCCGGCCCGGGACCATTCCCCCCCTCCCGCTCCGGGACCGGCCCCCAATTCCCCCCCCGCCCCGGGACCATTCCCCCCCGCCCCGGGACCGGCCCCCAATCGCCCCCCCCACCGGGACCACCCCCCGCCCCGGGACCGGCCCCCAGTCCCCCCCCACCCCTGGACCATCCCCCCCCGCTCCGGGACCGGCCCCCAATTATCCCGGCCCGGGACCATCCCCCCCCCGCTCCGGGACCGGCCCCCAATTAACCCCCCCCCGCTCCGGGACCATCCCCCCCGCTCCGGCCCCCAATTATCCCGCCCCGGGACCGGCTCCGGCCCCCAATTATCCCGCCCCGGGACGGGGCCGCCTCGCTCTCCCCGCGACGGGCCAGCACCGGCCCCGCCCCCCTGCCGTTGGGACCCGGGCGGGCCTGGCCCCGCCCCCCGGAACCGGCCTGGGCCGCCTTGCCCCTCCGCCCCCCGGACCGCTGCCCCGCACCGCCTGGGGCACCCCCGGGCTTGCTCCAGTCCCTCCCCGGGGCGGGTTGGGCACACGTGGCCCTGCCTTCCTGTCCCCTGCCTCTGGGCCAGGTTTGGCCCTGCCTCCCCCCGCTGCTGCACCGCGGAGCTCCCTGCTGAGCCGCTGGTGGGGCTGGCGCTTGAGTCGGAGTCCCTGTTTCCTCTCCCTGAGCTGCTAACTTGTCCCTTGTTACCTGGTTACCTAAGGGCTCTGGGTCTGCCACCCCCCGGCCCAGCGGACCCTGCACCCAGCCTGGAGGCTGGGAAGTGCCGGCTTTTCTATGGATTGGCTTAATCATTGTCCACTGTGCACTCCTCTCACTGCAAAAATAATCTCCCCTCCCATGGGGTGGGATCCTTTTCTAAGAGCCAGGCAGTCCTGGAATAAGTTCCTTTGGTGTAAAAATCCTTTCTAGCATGTGATAATCTTCAACTAGTTTATTCAGGGCTTTTTTTTTTTTTTTTTTTTTGCTGTCTACAGCAGATGGTTTGGCATAGCTGCCCTTAGTATTCATTATATCCAGTAACAATTTCGTAGTTGAAAATATTTGACTGACTTCATCATTGCTATTAATTTTGTTATCAGTAGATTGGGTTTATTTTGTGCAGGGATAGTGAGGTCATTGCATCTCCTAGAGGGAATCTGTTATCTTTATGTCCATTGTAATCTGATGTATGTTGTGTTACATTGTTACTTGGATTTTAAAGCATTTCTCTCTCAAAAATTCCATGAACATTGTTCCTGGATTTTTTCCATTTTCCATTCTGTGTGAAGCTTGGGAAGGAGAAGAGTTCTTGCATCTGTCCGTTTCTATCTTCGGAGAATTCTCTGAGATAAATCACTGTTGTTGTAACTGAAGTTTGTGGTTGAGCACACATGTTCTCACACAGTCTGTCTACCCGTGGTGTGGGCCCTGCAACTTTCTCAGAACAGTGAAAGAGATTCATGTTAAACTAAGTGTCTAGCTTTCTGTTTGATTTTTAGTTCTACAGCAGTCATTCTAGTGTAGTGTTGGAATGACTAACTTGTATTTGACCTTCTGTTCCAGCTTTCCTGTTTTATCCATGGTACAGTGCTCCCACTCCAAAGCACACTTTGGGAACCAAGTTGTTTATGTTATGTGAGTGGAGTTTATAGGAAACTTGTGTTTTGAGAGCTAATAAGAGGATAGCCTTTACTGACACTATCTCCCCTATCACTCAGACCAGTAGTTGGTTTATTATAAAGTCTGTTGGTTTGCTAGGCCTTTGTAGATAATCAGCACTTTTATGTGGCAAGAGTCAGGTGGGTTTATGATAGTAGGGGTAGAATAGAGTTAGAGATGTTAGTTACAAAGGATTCTTCCTTTTAAAATTGAGGGAGAAAGGATGGACAGGATGAAGTTACACATGGAATTCCAACATTTATTGTAGTCTTCCTCTCATCTAAAAATAAAGTGAGACTTAGCCTTCGCAAACTAGTCCTGACATACCTGCTTAAAAACTGCCCCATGGCCACCTACTAATGAAACTCAATCTTCTTGCAAGATTTCAGCCTTGTAGTAAAGAGTGGCCTTCGAACAGGGATCTTTTATAGTTTCAGCATTGTAATTTTGCTCTTTTATTCTGTGTAAGTTATTTCCACTTCTGTCTGTCCATAGATCATTCAGTAGTCTGTGTTTTGAATAAAGCCAGATCAACTATTGTAGGGGTGTGTGTGTGTGTGCGTGCGTGTGTGTGTGTATTATATGTAACGTTACCTCTCAATTTCAAAAAGTGTTTGCTGCAGCTGTGAGTGGCACTTGAGAGGAATGCCCTTCCTTTCCAAATGAGTATGTGGATATTTTTACATACATTGATATTCTGTGTTTGGCCCTGGTCGTCACATTTCTTAGTGGATTAAGAGTAAAATGCAATAATGATGTAAAAAAAAACCTTAAAATCTCTCCATCTCCCTTTTGAAAAGCTAAATGAAGAATCTCAAAAAGATCTGAAATTAAAAACATGTATTGGCTATTTGTAAAATATTGAAACTGGCTACGAGTATAATAGCAAATGTCCTTATGGAAAGTAGGAGATTCTATATTGTTGTGATTAATTTTGAACCTCTTAGATAAATATGAATGCAGAATTGAAGAAGGGATGTGCTGCTTGTATTTTAGTTTTTCTTTTATCTGATATTTACATGAGAAATGAGATTTTTTTGGCAGTTTTTCATTAAACTACAGTCAGGTGTACTAAGCACTCTGTCTTTTGTCTGTACTGAACAGCAGCTCTAAAGCACTACACAGCAAATTATAATAGCAGAGCTTAACCTTGGGGTAAGATGATTTTGAGGTAGTGATTATTCTCCTGGCTATAATTATATATGAATATATAGGTACATAGTGTGTGTCTGTTCCAGTCTGGGTGAAATTGACCGAATTAATTGCAGTGAGGCAGAATTTAAAGGGACTCTTGGATAAGTGATTGGATTGTTTTCTGACACCTTTAGCATCCCGTACCCTATTGAACCTTTCTGTTTCAGGTATAGTATGACATGTGAAGATGGGGACTGTGACTTCAGTACATTACTCGTACTGTATTTAAGTCCCAGTGTCACAAAGCCAAGAAATTGAATCTCTGCAAGCTATCTCCATAGTAATGTGTAGTGCTTACTTAAAAAGGGTTAAATCTCAGTTGTTGAATGGTGTCTTAGCCAGTGCAAATGACACTATGTATCCTGAGAACATTCTTGAAATTCCCCATTCCTATTTCATGATATCGTTTTTACTTTCCAAGAGAACTCAGCTTCCAATCATAGAATAGCATTAATTTGAATATATTGTAATTAACCAGGAATATCAGATCATTGCAATAAAATCCTCTTTACCAGCATGGATCTCAAATGTCAAGTAAATACTAAAAAGAAAAGGAGTACTTGTGGCACCTTAGAGACTAACCAATTTATTTGAGCATAAGCTTTCGTGAGTTACAGCTCATTTCATCGGATGCTAAATAGTATTACCTGCAATCACAGACTAATGATTTACAATCATAAGTCTGAAACTAATTACAGCTTCTCAAGTTCTGCACAACACAGGTATGAACTTTACAAAGTTTAAACAAATTTTAATTATGAATGTTTTATTAAAACTTCTTATTTTGTGATTCCTACAGTGTGACATGTCAATATTGTCATGATTGACTTACGCAATCTCTCATCTGTGTCTTAATTATTTTTAAGACACACCTCTATTGTTTTGTCTATTACCCGGACTCCTGGTGTAAAAGCTGACCTTGAGCAAAGCATGCTTTCATCATTTCAGTTTCTCCCATCTCCACTTCACAGGGGAGGATATCATTAGAATCTCAGCACTCAGGGTCCAATTCTGCTCCCAGAAATTCCTCTTACTTAAATTTCTTGAGTAAATTTGGGAGCAGAATTGGACTTCTGTGTGTTTTTTACTATTATTTTATTATTTGGTCATTTGTTTACAGTGAAGTTGAATAGTTAATTTCGAAAGAAAGGCGAAGTCTGTGGGCCAAGACAGTGATCTTTCTAAATTATTTTTATTTATTTAATTCCAATATTCTCTCAGTTTGACAGTTTCTCTCTTACCACTGGCATGAGAAGCATTGTCCTAGTTGTAAAACAGCACACCCCATAAAATCATATATGCAGTGCTTTATAATTTGTATTGTATTAGGGCTGTGACTTGACAGTGGCAAACCCTTCTAGCAAGGAAAGGTAACCACTACAGTACAAATTGCTAGAGCAGTGAAAAGAGAACTAGCTGTTCTAATTAATTCTGTTGTTTTTAGAATTCACTTTTGGAGCAAATTGAACTAGGACTTCAGCTTGTGTGTGTGGATACAGACTAACACGGCTACCCCCTGATATTTCAGCTAGTGTTTCCCATGACAAAATTTGCTTCCTTTCCACTCGCTGGTCCAAAATAGTCCAAATTTACTGACCTTTAGAACGCTTCAAATTGCATTTATTTGTGTAGGCATATGGGGTGTTTGGGGATCTGTGGCATTCTTGGAGTGTCATCGGTCTTGAGTGCATGAGGGGTTTTGAGATGGGGATAGGTGATTTTTGTGGTGGTGGTGGGGTTGGCCTCTGATCTGCTGGTGCTGTTTGTTTTTATACGGATTGTGATTTTGATTATGTCAGGGTGCCTAGTCCTTTGGGTAGGTATTTTGTTTGTATTCAAAAAAGTGAACATATAGACCAATTTAAATCAAGACAGCACAGCAAAATGACAGAAAAAACATTATTTCCTTCTCTTC